AAGTCGTGAGTCGTGACCGATAAACTTTGATCCTGGCTACAAGCGGCTAAAACGAGCTTTTTGAGACGCTAGCGTTGAACGTTTGGACAGAGTCCGGAGTACGGAAGTCCCCGAGTACTTTGGTGTGCAGTAGCTGCTTGTTCAGATTGAGAAGATCAAGTTGCGGTCGTTTTGGCGCCCGTTGCGAGTGCCTCCAGAAAGGAACACTAGGCAACTAAAAGTTTTCCCAGTCGACCAGCGGAAGACCCAGGGGACGTCAAAGATCAACGTAAGGAAGGAGTCTGCACTATAGTCCAGTTTTCTTCTAGTGAAACTCAAACACAAGCACATGATGAAGAATGTTAATTATTGTTTGACGCGTTTGCCTCAGATACACTATGGTAGATGTGGTCATGGAAATTGAAATGGAGATCGAATAATTACATACTAACACAGGATTCGTCTAAACCATAACTTATCCGACTGTTGCTGCTATTCAGCAGAAGGACAACCATACAATTGGTATTTTCTTGGAGATTCGAGCACTAGTGGACATTCGTTATGACTTCGAACCAATGCGAATTGTATCACGTTGAAAAGATGCCCCTCGTTCAGAGATTAATTTGAGTATGTACAACTACAGAAACATGTATTGGAAAGTGTGCGAGAGCGGCTGTCCTGAGGAACGGGCTTTGTTGTATAATCCTATCGAGTAATGTTTTTAGACAATGAAAAAATTTTCAGATCTTGCGTCCTTAACGGAAGGAACTGATTCTTCATCTTCTTCTGTCCTTTTACGAAAGGCGTAGTTTCGCGAATACATCGCTGAGGTAGTTTTGAGTTTTGACAACTCTTTAGAGTTTTGTAATTAATTTAATGCCCTGAAGTCACGACGCCTGATAATTGTGCTATTATAAAATTCATCGTCATTTTTCTGCTGGGATGAATATACGTGGATAACGGCGCAGCATGTGGTAACGCTATCTGCCATCCATTTTAGGGTTTTTTGCAGATTTTTTACGCTCTGTCTCCATAGAAAACAAAAGTCTTTTGTGTACGCATTAATTGTCTGTCTGTAAAATTATTTGGAACGAACACAATTTGCTATGGTGGCAATTCCCGTTGTTATTGCCAACCATGTTCTACTTTTGAAACATTTCTTGTCACATTTGGAAATATAATAAACTATAATAAAATATAAACTGGCCGCTGGTAATACGAGTCTATCGTTGACCTACGCTAGTGGTCTTCGACCATTGTGTCAGAAGCTCCATTCTAATAGGCCTGCAGTGAGCCATGTTGGTGGCATTCACTCCCGTCCTCGGTTCCACTGGTTTGAAGTTGGTAGGTGCGGAACATTTCGTTACTACAATTTGTACTAATGCTCGATTGCTTGTCTCTGAATCAACAAGTAGATTCCGTACATTCTTGAATTACTCTCGGAATGCAAAACCTGTTGCCTGCTCATTTGGCTCAACCCACTCCAAAACATATAACCATCCGTAAAATCACATAACTATGTATCGTTGAGGAAATTCTTACCTTTCAAATGATATTGCGCTATGCAATTTTCAGTTATGAAAAAGTTTTCACCAATGTCTTCCCAGAAATCTGGTCAAGTGCGAAGGCATTGACGCTTCTGTTGACTACATACATGACTATTTCAGTAAATCACTTATTCAACCCACTGGTAGCCATAACTATTTCAACGAGTGACCTCATCTGTGGTTCGCCATGATCTGGCTCAAATTTGTGATACTGTAGGCATGTATTTATCCTGCTGTTTTCCTCTTTGTAGTGGAAACTGAACGGCTTCGTCAAACCGATGGAAGGGTCTGCAGCAACCTAATGAAAAATGAATTAGAGGCATTGAAGAATCTGATGGAACGATTCTGTCGTGATAATTAAGGCACACAAAGGAACGCAACGGTTTTGATGAACAGAAGTGACTATAGCAAAAAAGTGTAACTTTGCTCTTCAGTCTAGATACTGTCGTTTCGCTGAAGAATTAGCGCATCAGCTAACTCACTGCTTGATTCACTCCATTTCACCGTTAAGAATTTAAGAATCGACAAGGAGCTTGAAATTGGAAAATGCCAAACGTATGTCAACCATGTTAGGATTTAAGAACATCATCAGCATTCCATAATTCCATTGTTTACCAATGACTAACAAATCTGGAACGCCCAGGCATCCTACAGTCTTCTGCACAGGTAGTGTCCATCCTGTATATCCAAGTTAATCCAGTCAGTTCTGGCGAGATATGCCGGATACTTAAACTCGCATCTGAAAACTCTTGTTGGAATTTCGCTCAACAGCTGCGTGGTTTAGTTGTAGAAGAAATACTATCTTCGTAAGTTATGTCGCTCAAGCCTGTTATCCAGCATATTTCTTAAAGTTTTCTTTGATGTGGTAAGTGATGAGGTAGAAAACAACTCATAGCTTACACAAAAGACTGCTCTTTTACCACAGTTCACCCAGAATATTTTAAAGATCTATCTAGTGTACTACGACTAATTCCAGTATGCTGTTCAGACAAAATAACGGAGCTCCAATCAGCAATTCTTCGTCGCCAATTGGTGCCGAATTTTTAAGAAGTATTTGGAAACAGTTGCCTTCCAAACATCAAATCAACTGGCAACATTCAGCCAGTGTTTTATACATGATATGTAGACGATATCTTTGCCATGCGCAGACGTGGCAAAGAATAATTTTGCTTGGGCCATCTGAACAGTCTATTTTTAGACTCCATAAAAATCAGCATCGAAACTGAACAAATAGGCATTTTGCACGTTTTGTATGTCTTGGTAACGCAGAAGTCCATAACGTTAATAGACTCCTATGGTTTATTTTCCATCATCCTTTTGGGGTGATGAAAGGCATGGCTAAAACTATTGTCGGTAGATGTCGAAGACTGCGTTCTGATGAACTCAGTATTCGAAAGAACTGAATCACGCCACGAAAGCTTCATAATTCAGTGACTACCCAAAACCTCTCGTAGAAGAAGTCATTCATCAATAAATGAGTCATCCAGATAAATGGAATAAAGCCGAAATCAGTGAATTTGCTGAAAACATTGCATGTCTGCCTAAGGTACGCCAACCTTAGCGAAACGCTTCGTAGGGTTTCCCTCCATCTTGGCTGAAAGTCATGGTCAAATCTTTACTCCCCTTTTGAAATCTACTGACAAGTGTCAAAGCAAGGTGCTACAGGATCAACAATGCGGATTTGGTTTGCTACATTCCCTGTAAATGTTGTGAAGTCTGCATCAGGGGAACGAGTAATTTCATCGAAAAAAGAAGAAAGGAATACGTGTGTAACCTTACCAAACGGAACAACGCGGACTTAAGAGAAAAAGGCAATTAAGTGCAACGTAGAAGACAGATGAAGTATCCAATGATTGTCAAATAAAGTGCGAAAAACAATTCGGCTGTTGTTAAACTTCGTGTCACGAAGAATCATTAAACAGAATGGCGGCGCGCCAGCGCAATCTGCACTGGAAAGAACTATAAATTTAGGAAGTTCCTCCCAGCCAACAGATGTATGAATATTTATAATAGCATTAACATGAGCAATATGTGGCCGTCAGTTATAAAAAAAGTTATCTGCATTAATCCATGGGGAGACCGAAACTGTGTTAGCTCCTATTATGCACAGAATCTAATCTTAGCCGTTTGATCTTGCAGATCTGCACCTATTACTGTACTTTGACAACGAACCGAATATGTTTTGAAACGTCATTGCTTTGTGTAATAAAATGTATACGCGGAACAATCCTGTAAGAAACATTAAAACTATTAACTCATGCATTTTATCATTTGAATATGCAGAATATTTAACTTCGTTTTTCAGCATAAGAAAAACACACACCAAGCTGTACATAGATTGAGCCGCTTTTACACAGTCTGTCATCAGCCAACGATGGATCGGCCATCACGTATGTCAATGCGTGAATTATCGATTGCATTTCATGTTCGTTCGACAGTGTGTCTTTACTCCCTAATTTCTGTGGTATTGTAAAAGTTTAAAAAGTGACAAAACCGGGTGAAATGGCAGGCTTGCGTTGAAACAGTGTCGAAGCTAAAGCGTCGCATCAGAAACTATTGTAGGAAGGCACACTCTCTGTCATGCTGTTGAAATGAAAGAGTTCCTTCATATTTTGGTTTATAAAACATAAAGTGCAAAGAACTCTTGTAATCGTTTGAAATAACTCATAGCTGTGGATCAGTGTATTATGCGAATCCCTTTTTGTTGTGACCTAAATTGCATGCAACTGCCATTCCGGATTATGTTCTTAGTAACTTGATGTTGTGCCACAAATTTTCCATGATTTTCAGTTTGTTTCATTCAGATATGAAGAGCCCTTGTTGGTAATGAAGCACATCAATACCCAATTTAAAAGAACTGAATAAATATTTCACAATTCAGTGACTGAACCATGTACTGAGAAGTAATTCGAGATTTTAATCAATTGATTTGATAATTTTTGACATCTTGAATATAGTCTTGAAAAAAATTCGTCGTTTAAAGCCATGGATGTCTTTATTGTTGTACGAAGCCAGGAGCAGATACATTTTCGAACCAATATCTTACACTTTATTATGTTAACTTTGGTTACACGGAGTTCACTTAAAACAGTAGTGCCTTTCAGCAACCTCCAACGGAGCAGTAACTTTACTGACGTTAGTTTTTGTCGTCAGGTTGTTCCGTACAATTCTCATATCCCAGACTTTCTCTTCAGAATATGTTAGATGTCGACCTAAATGCAAATGCTGCCATTGCTTTCACACATAGCCTCGCAGAACTTAATGCAAGATGTACATACAGCGGCTCTGCCAGCCTGAAATAAATAGAAAACAACAAAGTTCCTTTCCGCGATAGTTTAAACGATCCCATAGTAAGTCTGAGCATATACCATAATATGCAAAACACGTTATGTTTATTTTGCTGCCTCCAAGTTCGAAGAACCTTTAGAGAATGCTGTATCGTCGTTTGAGCGTTGGCAAGACTGTCGGACTCTGTCAGCAGACTCCGTGAAGCAGGAATTGAGACATAAAACTTTCGTCACGTTTGCTGTACTCGATTTGACGGAGGAATCGAAAGTGGCGTCGTTCCAGAGAAGCGTACATGGTGCAGAAGCGACGACTGAAGTTTTTGATCGACTGTTTCGGAACGTCACAGCAAGAGGCAAGCAAAACCAGGATGTCCATGAAATTGACGGTGAAATGTTTCCAAAACGGACAATTAAAGAAATACAGGTTCAGAAACGTGTGGTACAACAACATCACTTGTCTGAGAATGTCCAGTACGTATGAGTACATTTTCTTCGAGTTTCCGGCAGACAGCGACAGGCAGTCTCCCAACGATTGGTCGATCAGCTCCATTTTGATGATGACTGTAATCGGCAGGGCACGATGCACCCTTATCGTCTTCAGGATCGAGCGACAGTGCAGAATGTTGCAGTATAACGAAGTTTGATTGCTGAACTCTACTCTGACTGCGACCATAGCGCCGGCACTCATCGATAGGCGGTGGCCTGACTGAGGCTACTGCCAGTCGGCGATAAATTTTAGCTGAAAATCTTGCAATTCCGGTAGACAGTTGGTTGCCAATGAATGACGCATCAGATTTCGACAATTACTGGTTGAATAACTGTGTATTTTCACGTTTTCAGGCTACCGTATAGAGTGCCTAAATAGCACTAAGCGTGAACAGTAAAACGAAAGCTTTTTTGGGATAATAAAAAGGGAAAACGAAATTTGATTAGAATGGTGGATGCGGGCAACAAAGCAGGCGAATGCTCCATATAGATAATTTTATTGACTTCCGTTTTAGTATATTTCACGATAGAAGCGCTATATCCCTGTGTGTTTACCCACGAAGGATAGGAATAACAAAACGAATGACGCTACAAGCAGTATACTACCAGAACCGAAAAATATGTCTCGGTGAATTAGGTTTCGGTCACAAATAACCTGCACTGCAATTTTTGGCAATACCTATGCAGTTCTCTTCTGTTCATCCGGTTCCTTACATTGGAGGTCAAAAATGCCTTACATATTTCCCATAAATATCCACATACAGTAGGCACTGCGTGCATAGATGCAACCGTTCAAGTGAGATGTGCATTCAATGAGCAAGCAACCACAGTGGCTCAAAACTGACAATAAAAATTCCATAGACAGACAGCTGCAATAGTTTGTTCTGCGCTGAATCATGCTGGAGCACAACTCAAAA